AGTTACTGATGCATGTGATAATCGAAACGAAAGCAGGAATGAATTCGAGACGAGATTTATGTGGTTTCTTTTATTTGATATGAATAAGACTAATTCATGGTTAAGCTACGTTTCTCTGTTTTTTTTCCTTCTTCTATTAGCTCGATGTAGATTACAAGACTGGGATATCGCCTATAAACCCTAGCCGAGTAATCCATACATTTACGAACTCTTCTCGTATAGCTAATATGTTGAGGCCCTCCTAGCTTGGCCTAGGTCCTAATAGATATCACTATCTCAACAGTCTCTCTCTCTCTCTCTCAAATTGATGGTGAGTTCTCATCATTAATTTGCCAGCCAAAAAAGAATGATGACTGGTGTAGAACATTTTCGTAAACAGATCTTGAAATTGGTCCTCCGATGTGATATAGCTGATGCATTAGTACCATCACGAACTAGGTTAAAAATGTAATGAATGTATATGAACTTTAATATGCTTGGTAAGATCACGATGAACGTGATTAGTGGCAGTACGGATGGCCAAAATGATGAAGTTATTAGGGGCAATTTGATAGTTGATCACGTGAATGACAACAAAGACTGTTTCAGGCCAAAATGAGGAAGGAACATGTGAGGCTAACAGAAGAGCTTGATTGATCTCTAGGACATGTCGATTTTTCCGTTCAACAAGACAATTTTGTTGGGAAATGCCATGACAAAACTTTTGAGTACGGGTACCTATATTTTTTTTAAAATAAGATTAAGATGAGGAACGAAACTAAATTCTCACCTAGGATCATATCAAACTACTCGGTCGGTATCAAATTAAGTCTGTATTATTTTAAGAAATTTCAGTAGTAATGGGTAATAGATCATATGTAAGGTGCAAGAAATAACCCAAGTACTAGTATATATCATGATCAACAAATAAGGAAAAATACTGATATCCATGGCGAGAAGTGACTAGATGATGACCCATTATAGCATGCCACACATGAAAGTTCGATCACCAAGACTCGAAAAAAAGGAAAAGATGATAGCCTAGACACCGAAGATTGAAAAGACTCAAACAATGGGATGATGACGATGGTGGTGCTTTAAGTTGCTCAAGACAAAAGATACGCCCATGTTTGCTACCCTTGCCTATCTCCTGCCCTAGAATACACAATAACATCATTCTACCCGTCAAATTTGATTAAAGAAGCAGACAAGAATAAGAGACCCAAAAACAGTTACTCAATTCATAAACCCTCACCAAACTACATGAAAGTTTAAATGTTGTTAGATTGTTGTCAAGCTACTGCGTGCAAGTCCATCCCTCTACAGTGCTCCTTCTAGATCCCTTCCTTGAAATAAGTCTCACTTGAACTTAAACCACTATTATAATTAGGGCAGATAAGAGATATTGTTGGCATTAGAAAATCCCATTTTTTTCCATCTATGCATGGTACTCATAGAGACCTATTATTTTTTGCTTTAACTGTGAGGATGGTTATAATCGGTTAGTCGGTTAATCTTTTAACTGCCAATTCCAGTTCGGTTATCGATTACACCGCTAACTGAATAACCGTTTAACACTACCATACTCTAAACACGTTAGTATTTTGGAAAATATTTTCGTAAGTATATGGTATTGTGAAATTTTAGTTTAATAACCAGTGAACACATCCAGCCGTAGAAATATTAGTAAAACTTGCTTCTCAAGTAACCTCTTAAGAATCACCCATAAAATATGAACAAGTTAAAGCAGAGGAGATGGGAACTGTTGGGGAAAAAAAGAAGCTCAGCTTAGCCTAGCCGCTCCACGCTCAGGATCATGTGATGGTTTGGTTTGAATTGACTATTGCTCTTTTCCCCCCTCCTCTTTCGTTGCTGACAATGCCAAGTTCTGTTCAACTTCTACGACCGGATTAACTTGCTTTTTTTCAAACAGATTAATAATTAATTAGAACTGAGTAATCTTGCTGGCCTTCATGTGATCCTACTACTGCAGGCACGTGAAGTTTAACTACTTGCATACCCACTGCTTCCACGTTCCCCCCTTCTTTTCTCTTTTGTGCCCACCATTTTGTTTCCCCACTTATCGAATGGTCGGTTTTAGTGTTCTTGTTCATCAAGTCTCTGTTTTGCAGTGTGGTTTGAATCTTTGGTTCTATCTTTCTGCTCGTAATTTATAGGCAAGGTACAAAAGGTGATAGGCATAAGGTGGGAAACCAACTTAATAGCTCACATAGTTCTTGAGCTGTTGAAAATATTGACATATAAAATTGATTTCGTAGTTGACGTTAATTTTCTCCTTTAATATGGACTTCCTAGCTCCATCTAGTTATGTTTAGGAGACACTTAGATGCCGCCTTACTCCATTGTCGTGTCCCAGTATCTGACTAGGCGCGAAACTCCTAGGCGAAGCGTTTTGTCATTGGCGTAAGGTGAAACGTGCTTTTTTGAACCATGCTTATAGGTAAGAGTATCAACGCGGTTTAGAGTTATAGGTAAGATTGTCAAATCTCATCTAACATATTGGTAATTACATATAACATTACACCTAAATAACAGTTCATACTTTGATACAACATATAATGAAAATTCAAACACACTAGTATAACATCAATATTCAAATATTCAACTTATAAGGGGAAAAATGACGCAATGTAACTTCCAGTCCGAGAAACTTGCAGTGGGTCGATCCGCAGCCCGCAGGTGTGTGGCATGTGTTTTCTCATTGGGTCCAGGTTAACATGAGGGTTGACCCGCGGGTTGAACCATGCTTATAGGTAAGATTATCAACGCGGTTTAGAGTTATAGGTAAGATTGTCAAATCTCATCATCTAACATATTGGTAATTACATATAACATTACACCTAAATAACAGTTCATACTTTGATACAACATATAATGAAAATTCAAACACACTCGTATAACATCAATGTTCAAATATTCAACTTATAAGGAAAAAAATGACGCAGTGTAACTTCCAGTCCGAGAAACTTGCAGTGGGCAGACCCGCAGCCCGCAGGTGTGTGGCATGCGTTTTCTCATTGGGTCCAGGTTAACATGAGGGTTGACAACTTTCCTTAGAGATAATATCTAGGAATAACAAGGTCGACTTGTTGAATAATTTCACCCAATTGTCACGGCCCATACGTGTATTGGTTCATACCCAAATTGACTCATATGCACTTTCAGTAATTTTGAGTTTGGGTTGGGTTAGAATTGAGTTTAATTTGGATCCGATCCAATTGGGTCTATTTGTGTCCTAATAATTCTACATACAAAAAGACAATATCAATCATCTCATTAACTGTCATAAACCCAATTACATCTTTAATGCTGGTGTTTTCACTTTTCTGTTTATGTTGCATTTTAAAAGATAAAACAAGATTGAATTAGAATAGAATATTTTTTTTTTTGAATATTCAATACTATAAATTCAATTTAGATTCAAATTTTAAAATTGGGTACGAATCTGCTCCACAAACGAAATTAACCAAATCTGATTTGACCCCTACTAATACAAGTTTGAGCAATACCCCATTATTAGGTCTACTTTGCTATCCCTAACTATATCTTTAGCACCATGTGACGAACTTCTTGCGGGTTAATATGTATTGAAAAGATGCATAAATTTGGTAAAAACAACGGCAAAGAAAAGGACAGAGAGAAGGCTTATAATATATTTATTCAAATGATTAGTGTATGAATGTCTGTTACTGATGTTTGAAGTATACAGCAGTAGATATGGACAATCTTGAGTCTTGGCACATTTGCTAGCTACCAACTACTCTTTGCTGGATTGTCAGTCAAAGTTTGAAATAAGTAGTGAAGTTGAAGACTAATACGATTCATCTAGTAAGGCTAATGAAAGATGAAAGTGAGATTTCTCTTTTGTTAATTAGGGTATCAAATTACAGTCCACGGGTTAAGGTGGTTGGGATTTGCCACTACAACTTCACTACGCCGAGAAAAAGAGGAAAATTTAACGATGCTTTACTGTTTGTAGTTGTTGAAGATTTAATACTTTAGACGAATTCCACATCAAAAAAGTATGGAAAAGATCTATGATTCATAAGTAGGAAACCGATTTTAACTGATAAAATGCATTTTGGGGTGAAATCGAAGAGTTCTTGCGAGAATTCCGAAGTTAAACGTTATCAGCATGGAGCACTGTACAGATGGATGACCTTATGAGAAGTCACCTTGATATGCATCCCAAGTCGAAATTCGTGAGGGTATTCGCCAAAGCGGACAATATCTTGTCGGAAAAAGTTTGGGATGTTACGAGTGGTATCAAAGCCTCTCCGCGTCCCTCTTGAACGATGGGGGGTAAACCTCAACGAGGAAGTTGAGTCCCAAAGGAGGTGTATTTGACACATTAGACGAATCCCACATCGAAAAAGCACTGGAGACATATATGATTCATAAGTAGGAAAACCAACTTTAACAAACAAGATGCGTTTTGGATGAAATGAAATAGTTATTGTTGTACCACTGGATTGCTGCATAGCCATAATTGTACCACTAGATCGCTAACCTTCGAATGAGTTCCCAAATGCAGCTTTTATCAATCTTCTCCTGCTTCTTCGGTCACTTTATCAACACGGATCAATTTCTCGATTAGCTCAGATATTTGTATAAAAGCTTTAGTATTATAAAACTCAACTAACAACTCTAGTAATCGCACCTGAACGATAGTCAATTCGATACCCGCGGTTCATGGATTTACCCGAGTTTTTAGTGATAATGTCCTGATTGCTTGCCTTTGCCTAATTGCCTTTACCCAAACCCAGTTCGTTTTGTCAACCACAAAATGTTGGGCTCATTTCAAACCTGCCAAATACCCATTATCTGCTGATAAATTGTCGGCCCATAATCATCGTACTGGAAAGCCTTTGGCCCGTCATAACAGCTATAGCGGGGTCCGCGATTCCAAATTCCCGGCCCACAGTCTAAAAGAAAAAAAAGAATTTTAGAATTTAAATAGACCGGAAGAAAACGGCAAAACAGAGGAAGCGACTGTTATTAAAAAAAAAAAAAAAAAAACAGTGTAGATTTCAACTTCCATCTAAAAGTGCTCCCTTCCTCTCCCTTGCTACTCCGCTCCCTCCTTCCTCTACAGATTCAATTTCCTCCTCTCCCATCCCAAAAAGCTTATCCTTCTTCTCTCTTTTGCTTACTTTACTCCATTCAGCGGCGGCTGTTGCTCTCTTCAGTGTCGTCTGGACGCGCCGAGCATTTCATAGCCGGGGTTGCTTTTCTCTCGTTAACGGGTTACGAATTTGTCGCATGGTAGCGGTACGTGGCATTTCTTGTTTCCGTTTGAAATTCTCCCTTTGCCTGTCGCTTTCCCCCCATTTCGTCTTCCCGCTTCGTGGGAATTGGCTTTCTGCTTCGAAAGTTTCAGTCTTGGCTCTTGGGGAATGTAATTTCTGGGTATCGATTGTTTTGTGCGTATCTAGGGTTTCGAATGTGGCGGGAGTAATTTTAGGTTGTTTTTTTCTCCGTTTTTGACGAATTGGGTTTGCGAAGAGTGTCGCGTGGGTGACGCGATAGGAGTAGGGTTTCGGGGTTTGAGTTGGAGAATGGGGATCTTTCTCCTTGAGGATTGCGCTGAGTTGCTTTTTTCTTCCGTGCGCTGTCATTGGGGTTTACTCGGCCAGAGGAATTTCTTGAAGCATGTCTTAACTATGCATTCCTGGTTAGGTGTGGATTATGAGAATTGGGAAGTTTTGCTTTCTATTCTTCCTATATTGTGGGTTTTGATGTGTCCGATAATGTCTTTGGAGAATTTCAATTGGATTTAGGGGAAAAGGTAGGTAAGCTTGATACTTTCTGTTCGTTGCTGGTTTAGATACTTCTGTATAATGTGTGTTCCAGGCTGGTATGAGTTCTTTTCCACAATGCTTCAGGCAATCATGCTACATCTGTTATATGTGAACAGTGTTCGTTATTGATAAATGATTGTTGACACTTCATGATAATAGGATCAAACAGGAGCAATATCTTCTGCAGAGCAGACTATCGGTTGTAGGTTGTTCCACGTATCTTAGATTTCATCTTAATATGGAGGCCCAAATTCATCACCTTGAGCAAGAAGCTTACAGTGCAGTGCTGCGTGCTTTCAAGGCTCAATCTGATGCTCTTACCTGGGTACTGCTATTAATTTCCCACTGTGTACCCACATTTTTATGAAAAGAATTACTTTAAGCTTGAATTTGTCTCATTTAGATGCCTTCTCATATATATCCAGGAAAAGGAGGGTTTGATTACTGAACTTCGCAAAGAGCTCAGAGTATCAGATGATGAACACAGAGAACTTCTCGCCCGAGTTAATGGGGATGATGTCATCCGTCGTATAAGGTTTGTATACTTCTTGTCCATGCCTGAACTCTTGCAATTATAGTGGTCTGAGTAAATCGATCATGGCTTGCTTACTATTTCAGGGAATGGAGAACTACAGGTGGGAATGAACCTACTAGGTTTGTGCCGCCAAGGGGTCATGACATGGTACCCAGCCCTACCATGTCTGGTGCCCGTAAAAGGCAGAAGATATCTCAAGGGGTATATTCTCTTTGGGTTTGATATGGTTTCCCTTTGTTTTAAAATAAATTGGTCATAGCCAGTTTCTCAATTAACTTCCATCTTTTTGTGATTTTTTCTTTATCAGGGTCACATACTTCCTACTTTATCCTCTGTGAAGGCTATGCAGCTCCCCTCACAGTTTGCTACTCGACCTAGGTACTTTACTACACACAACTCTCGCAGTTCTTCTGGTGCACTTGTGGTGGATGAACCTCCTGAAGCACTGCTCGGGCGAAAGGTTTGGACTAGATGGCCTGAGGACAATCACTTCTATGAGGCTGTCATAACGCAATATGACTCGTCTCAGGTATGTACTAGAAAATCTAGAACAATTACTGTCTTCTTGTGAGGGTGCTGCAATTCTTGATGGAAGATGTGTGTATTGGTATATATATTAATGCACGTAGGCTTGCTGTAAATTTGTTCAGAGAAATAGGGCTGCTGGAATCTAGGAACAAGTACTACATTTTTTTAGTTTTGATGGGTAGTATGATGGTTGAAGAACTGCCACACCAGTCTGTGATTAGGTCTGGTAGCTTGACCCGAGAACCTATAAACCTATCGAACGACGAGGACCAACTGTTGCAAATGTTCCAAGAGTTTGATTGAAATCTGATCTCAGTACTGTAGAATTATCCTCTTATGTAGGAGTTACAAACTTGACGCCCAACTACTTTTGCTATTAATTAATTCGTTATAAGAGTTGCATATTAGCAACCAGTGGGATGTTATCTGTTTGTTTTATGTGAGTCCCTTACCGAATGACTATTCTAATTGTGATTAAAGCCTTCCTTAGTGGGTTGAAAACCAGTTCCCTACTCAAATGTTAAATCCTAATCACTTCAGTGTTTGCTACTACTGCTTTCAGTGGCCATTTGTCTGTGTGTTTGTCAGCTAAAGTTTTTATTTATTTAATGGTTGAAGGCCCGACATGCTCTCGTGTACGATATGGGCACAAAGGATGAGACATGGGAATGGGTTGATCTGAACGAGGTGATTAATACTGCTAACAATAAACCAGACCTCTACTACCATTTATTTTGTTTGTCAGGTTTTGCTATGGTCATTTTCGTTCCCTCTTTCATGTTGAATTGGGAAAATGAGTGCATATGTCTGTTGGCAGATATCTCCAGAGGATATACGATGGGATGGAGAGGATCCAGCAATTCTATATCGTGGTGGACAAGGTGGTGGTGGTGGTAGCCGTGTGATGAGGAAAACCATAAGCCATGGTGGTTTTGTCCCACCGGGTTCCGTTCCAGTGCGGGGTTCGACAAAGTTCCCCTCTAGAAGGGAGCTTTTAGTAGCACGCAATGGTGTTGCTGCGAAAGTTTCTGATGAAATTGAATTACTGAACACCGAGACACTAGTTAAGGAGGTAACAAAAGTGGACCTCTTGAAGTTTTTCGACACAAGTTTAAACAACTAATTTGCTCCTTCATCTTTATCTTGTCTTTTCTTTATAGGTTGAAAAGGTTTTCGGAGTAAGTCAACCAGATCCAATTGAGCTTGAGAAAGCCAAAATGATGCTAAAAGTATGATTGGAGTTTCGCGCCTATAGTATCGCTTTCTCTTACTGTTTCATGGTTGTTGACTTAAAGCTCACTGGTATTTTAACTTCTTATGTAGGAGCATGAACAGGCACTTTTGGATGCAATCGCAAGGCTAGCAGATGCATCTGATGGTGAAAGTGGTAAATAGCTACGTTTGTATCTTCGAATTGTTGGTTGTTCACTCCATTGTTATATAGTAACAACCGACTTCTTCCTACTTCAGCGGTGTTAGCCCTATTCCATTAATTTGTAAAATCAGTTAAAATTCACTGAAGTAATGTGTTTTCCTCCATCATACTGTGTGCCTTTATTGGTTCTGACTCTGAGTATCTTCTATCGCTCATATCTGACTTCGTATTTGGACCTCCAACGGCTCAAACATCTTGTGGTTGAACCGTATCCTTAAATGTCGTCTCGCGGTATAAAAGTTGACGAATTCGTTACCAACTGCATTTGGAAACCTCATGTAGATTGCAGGAATATACTAATACCTTTGTATTAATATATTGGTTAATTTCCTTAAGGAATAGCAACATGTCCCTTAAATTTGTTTGCTAAACCAAGTTGTTTTTGTGTTCGAACAGATGGAGAACAGCACTTCATACACGGGCAACCTATGGAGCGTTAGTGAGGTTTGAAGAAACCATTTCTCAGGAGGCAGAAGATATGTCATAGCTGAAAGCAGCACCTGATGACGCTGTCGAACTGGAAATTAAAGAGGGAGAAGGAAAAGGTGAATCAACCATCGCTAGTGGTTGGCTGCCAGTTTTCCTTTCATCTTCTAACCTGTTGGGTTGTAAAGAATTCCATCTGTTTCCTTCCACCTTGTACCATACCCTTACTTCCCCTATCTCCGTTTCCATTTCCATTTAACATCTTGTTCTGCAGAACGAGATTTAGACTGAGTAAAGGTGCTGATAGTTAGGATTAGTGAGGATAAGAAATGTTTAGGGCTAATCTAGATTTGTACAACTTCCCATGGCAGGCAATGTCGTCGACTTATCGTTTAATGAGTAGAGAATTTGACTTCGAATGATTCTGAAATTGCTGACTTCTCTAATGTCTCTCAGATGTGCACTTTTTCTTTAACCCAGAACCCAAAGAACGTTACTTTGATTATTGAGCAATGCAACTTTCATACAGGAAAAAAGCCATGACTTTTTACAGCGTTTCATGGAACTCTACAATCAAATTGACCATGACGGAATCGAAAGCAGGGCCTTCTACTTCAAAATGACCAGCTCCTTGTATCAGATGCATCTCTGCTCTGCCATCGCAGCTCTTCACCTTGCTCTTCAGCTGCCGCACGCTGGTGAACCAGTCTGCACTCCCCATGATGAACAGCTTCGGCTTCCTTGCCTTCAGCGTCGGCTTGTAGTGCTTCCCAAACAGGAACGAAGCCGCCAATCCGAAAGGATAGCCTATGCTCACATATCCCACCACTTTCTCCAGGTGATCCAGCGCCGAGCCGGCAATTGGAGCTCCTGCGGATGACCCGACAAGCAGGATCCTGTCGACAGGCAAGTTGTCGGAAACCCAATTGCAGACAGCCACGACATCCTCGATTTCGGGGATCCCGGTGATGGAGGACTTCCCTGTTGATCTTCCAACGCCTCTCATGTCGAATGTGACCGCGGTGAACCCTTTGATGGAGAGCCTGGAGGCAATACCGTGCATGATGACCTGGCAGCCGCCGAGTTTCGAGTAAGGATGGACCAGAACCACCGCGGTGGCGAATTGGGCGGAGGTGGGCTTGAAGAGCCTGGCATGGAGGACGACCCCGTCTCGCGTGGAGACGAAGCACGACTCCATGGCGCTCCTCGGAGGTGTCATCGATGAGGAAGACGATGAGGAGGGGGCGTCTGGAGAGATTCTAGAGGGCTGTAGCCATGGATTCCTTATGATTATTATGAAATGTTACATGGAGAGGTGTTCTTGGGGGTGGGTTTGAAGAGGTTTTTGCTGTTGTTGTAAGGATGTTTTGTTTGGAAAGGTTTGGTGAAGGATATGATATGGGTTTTAATGTGTGGGGATGAAGCTAAACAGTTAATCAACGGATTGTGCTATAAATTGTGTTTTAAGGCTATGTGTGGGAGAAACTGACTGAACTGAAATTAGGAACAGAAAGTTCTAAGGTTGGGAAGAGGATTAAGTGAAGCTGGAGAATGGATGCAAAAAAGAAGGGTATGTTAACTAAACGAATTTGTTTTCTTGGAACGGCCCACAGGGCTGAATTGGCGGGAGCAAAGCTAGTTTTACAAACTAAAGAAAAGATGACAATGAGAAAAAGAACATTTCAGTTGAGAATCGAAATAAAACCCAATTATAATTTATCTAGTTTGACATAATTCAAATATTAATTTGTTGGTTCTCGCAAGAAAATAAATGTTGTGTGCATGCTCTCTTGTGTGATGAGTCTCCTATCTCGATAATTTGGAATATTCGTTATCATATCATGACACAAAGTAACAAATCGTTGGTCTTTGTTTAATGTAATTGGTAATGATTTGTGTCTTTCTTTGAAGTGATATTTTCTTCACCAAATCCAAATGCCTCCCTCTTCTATTATTGTTCCTCCATTGCACTCGCCTGCTTCGGACAGAACACCAAGTCATTGTTGCATGCCATTCCGACGTTGTCTCCTGCTCTCAAACATTCCTCCATCTTTCTTACTAACCCCGTTGTTTTCTTTTGCTGCAGCTGTTCATTTTCCTCTACATAGAGAATAAAGGATAAAAGTCCCTTTCAATAGAAACGATCTTTGGTTCCCTCTGGGGGTTTGAGAACTCGGCCTCGAGTTCGATTGCGAGTACAATCACCAATTTTTTGTTTGACTTTCCAAAACTCTTTGATTTTTTTAATAGGAATCCCTAAGTTAATTGTCAAGATGGTTGTAGAAGATGTACAAGGTGTTCACTGTGGCTGGCGTTGAGGCCGTTGTCGGTGTTGATTAAAGCGAACAGACTGTCTGGATATATCTTTGGCTAGACTTCGATAGTTACGACTACGGGAGAGGACGTGACTCGTGGATTAGGTGGACCAGTTTTTAAGGAGATTCAGTTGACGATTGTTGCTTTCTCTCATTTCTCTTGCACTTTACTCTTCGCAGGTACAACAAGATTGCTCATTTAGTGGCTCATAAGACCCTTTCATCGAAAATTCGACTAGTTGCCTATTGTCGCTGGTTGCTTGCTATACTTGAACTATCTTTTTTATTCCATTATCTATGTAGGAAAAAAAAAACAAATACCTTATCCTAGAATATCTTTCATCCATATATTAAATTATCATAATTTTGTTCCAATTTAGATAAAATCAATTCAATGGTTAAAAATAAAAGGGCATTAAGATATGATAGAAAGTATTCTCGCCGAGTGTAAAGACGCTTTCTTTTATAAGGTTGATTTTTTATAGTTAGATGCTATTGAATGGACTCGAATATAGGACCTGTATATTCAAGAATAGTGGTATTACCATTAGGTCAAGTCCTTATTCGCTAAAAAAGACTTTCTTTCATGGAAAATTGTTATGCTCTCGCATGAAGGAAAGGAAATCCTCCTTTAGCCAGACGATACGTGGACTCATTTGGGGCTCTATGGCAAACGCAAGGAAGATGCATCTGGTTCACTGGGAGGGACTCTGAAAAACCGAAAGATGAAGGGAGGGATGCCACTACTCATGACTGGCCGATCGATCCCTATCAACCAGTGGCGGATTTTGTCCTTCCATCGATTAGTGGAACATTTGCCTACTTTAGGAATTTCTACCTCATGAAATGGTTTTGCATGTCTTAGGCATTCAACCTTTGGTGAGTGATCTAGGCAAGGACATCGCGATTTGGTGGTCCAAGCAGGATGGGCGATTCTGGGTCAAATCCGCTTACCGCATAACTGTAAAGTTGGAGGATGGCGCCCCAGAGCTGGATTGGAAAGCGTTCTGGCAACGGAAAGGTCTGGCCCGAGTCAACCATTTCTTATGGCTAACAGCTAAAGAGAGGCTACTCACCAACATGGAGAGACAATGTCGTCACCTGGTTTGAGCCACCGGATGTACGTACTGCAACCAAGCCCCGAGACAATCCTACATGTGTTGAGGGACTGTAATTTTTCTAGGTTAACTTGGATGCAAGTCAGTCAACCTTCTGAACACCAAACATTCTTCGAAGCCAATTTACAAGACTGGCTCTTGATCAACCTTCGGCATTAGCAAAACGCCCTTAAGTTTGGGATTACCTGCCAGTCTCTTTGGAAGACCAGGAATGATCGAGTCTTTGCATGCAAGATCATATCAACTGAAGGTTTCTTATAGCACGTCCTAACATGGATTAATGTATTGCAGAATGCCATAGACATTAAGATGCTCATCCATACGCCTCACCGGCCGTTCAGAACGAAAGTGGAGATATTGTGGTAGTCGCCACCTCCCGAGTGGGTTACTCTCAACATGGACGACCCCGTTCACACTAGCACAAACCACACTGTTGCGGGTGGTTTGTTAAGTGATCATAATGGATGCTGATTGGTGACATTTGATATTAATCTAGGGAGTTGTTCTATTACCCGGGCAGAGTTGAGAGGCGTTGTAGATGAACTTCAGTTGGCTTGGAACCTTGGACACTGTTGGATAAGAGTGAAATTGGAATCACAGTGTATTGTCCAAATCCTATCAAATCCTAGAGCTTAAGAGCATCATCACGTGACGATTGTCCAGAGGTTTACTGAGCTCCTCCATTGTAATTGAAAGGTTTCAATTCACCATATTTATCCGGAGACCGGAGGGTAATAAGTGTGCTAATCTTTTAGCGCACCATGGGCATTCCTTGTCCTTGGTACCCATTTTTTCCAGCTTTAGATCCTTTATTGTGTTATTCACTTTCTGACAGGAGATCTCCGAACCCCATATGATTTTGAATGAAGGTTTAGATACTTAGTACGAAGTAAAAAAAAAGTAAATACAATTAAAATTTTCATATTATTATCTTTCAAAATACAAAATATTAGTCAAACGTTAACTCCTCGTTAGCAATTTTGGTAGTAATGCTAACTTGACAACATGATGTTGAGTTGGAAGAGACACGTAGCGGTCAACATTCCAAAATTTGAGTATTTTAATTAAGCAATAATGTACAAAATTATTAACGGTAACAGATAAATGATGCGTTACAAAAATTTGGCTAATACTTTACATTTTTGAATACTTTGGCTAATAATTTGAAAAGTTTGCAAGGTTAGGCTAGTAAATTTTATTTTACTAAAATCTCAAAAAATTAACTTTAGTGATAATAAGAGAATGAGAACATCAATCACACTCTCGAAACTTAGGCCAACATGAATAAATCATATGTTACAAAACATAATAAAAAAATGGGTTAATTGCAAGATTGGTCACTGAGATTACTAAAAACGTTCATGTTTAGTCACTAAAAATATTTAATTCCATTCATGGTCACTAAAATTAGTAAAACATTTCAAGTTCGGTCACTCTCCGTCCAACTCCGTTAACTTTGGTTGATGTGGCAGTCAACTCTTAAAGTTGACCGTTAAATGTGTGACGTGGCACTTAAAAAATAATAAAAAATAATAATTTTATATTTTAAATATTCCACCTAATTATTATTATCAATAAAAAATAAAAATAGAGAGGATTGGCCGCAAGTCCACAAATACAGAAACACAAACTATGACAGAAACCTATCTGCAAAAACTCGCTCTGTTCTTCTTCATCTTCTACATATACGCGAGATGAGACCTAGCAATCCGCCCTTGCGCCGCCATCACGGCTGAAGGTCCGACTAATCACCAAGAAGCGAACCATCATCGCCACCATCTACCAAATCATCATCTCTGATCCTTTGACCTTCTCACTAATCACACAATTAAACGCCGGCACAAGAAGCGAACTCGGAGGCGATGAGGTGAAAACGCCGAACCTGCATACATCACATCCACGGCTTTATTAAACTCCTCCACCCTAACCTCCTTCCGAACCGTCTCCAGCTCCGGCCCAAACCCATTCGTCGATCCCAATCCCAAATCCACCACCTTTTCCCCTTCTTCTCATCCTCACTCTTCCCCAGCAACTCCTTGCGCTTCAATATCTTCACCTGTCCCATCACGAGATTATTCCCCGGAAACTTCGCCACCAGCGACTGTTTCGATCGCGACGCCGCCCTATCCCTCTGGCTCCCCAAGGGACTCCTCTTCTGCCTGCGAGATTCGGCCCTAGGGTTAGGGTTCGCCACCGCATCATCCTTCGCCACGCGAGATGAAGATCACAGCGCCTGGTCACCAGTACGGTGACAGCGGCAGCGGTGGCGCTCTTTTCAGTTCCAAGTCCCGTTCCCCTCCCTTCTTGGCCATTGCACTCATCGTCCTCGTACGTTGGTTCCCCAATTGATAACTCCTTTACTATTTTGTTTTAGATTTGGAGATTTTTGAATTTGCCGTCGTGGAGTTTTTCACAGAGAGGATTGGCCGTGATGGCGGCGGGTGGAGTCGGGGAGGAGAAAGCGGGTTCGGCGGAGGTAGTAGAAGAATTAAGTTTCTATTTTTATTTTTTTAGTGAGGATAATAATTAGGTGGAATATTTAAAATATAAAATTTTAATTTTTTATTATTTTTTAAGTGCCACGTCACACATTTAACGGTCAACTTTAAGAGCTGACTGCCACGTCAGCCAAAGTTAACGGAGTTGGACGGAGAGTGACCGAACTTAAAATGTTTTACTAATTTTAGTGACCATGAATGGAATTAAATATTTTTAGTGACTAAACATGAACGTTTTTAGTAATCTCAGTGACCAATCTTGCAATTAACCCTCTAATAAAACAAGCTTTCGATCGGGAAAATACCAAAACCTGGTCAACCTAGATAGATCCAACCCGACTTGAACTGGTTTCAGGCGGCAGCAGGCCCACGGCCAGGGCCGCAATGCTGTGATGTGATGAGTTTTAGAGTTTCGACAATTCCAAGGCCTTTTGGCATCGAATTCCCAACCAAGACACAACAAATCACAACCCACACAGCTTCGTTTTCACCGAAACTTAGTGCAACACAACGCCATCGTCGCCTTCCCTCCCCTCCCTCCACATTTACTCCTCTGATTCTTCGTCCCCGCATCCTCTCAAGCTCACCCTGCTCTTCTGCATTCCTCGGAGGTAAAAACTGCTCCTACTGACTACATGATTGCAATGTGATCTATTCTATTGCTTCTGTTGTTTTCTGCTGCAATGGGTCAACCAGTTCTCCCTTTTTTTTTTTAATGTAGTTTCTCTTTTTTGTCGTTGGAACTAGTCGAATCCATTTCTTTGCTAGTGTAGATGTGGAAAGCTGCAGTCTTTTTGCTGCGAGGAATCTCGGGTTGCTTTTACCTTTTCCTGGGTTGAAGAAATGACACTGATGCTTGCCATATAGTGCAGTCTGCTGCTGGCTTCGTTTCTGTGTCATACTGGAACTGGTTGATTAATTTCCTGAGCTTGAAATATTCAAATGTCTGTTAGATTTCAAGACTTGCTGATGTTGGCTGCAAGGATCTTCTTCTAGTTCAAAAAAAAAAAAAAAAGTCCTCTGGAACGCTTTCTTCTGGGTAGCAATTTTGTTTTAATATTGTTTGCTTTTCATGTCGTTTCCTGTTTCAGCTTTACTGATTGAGAATGTTCATTGGATTGCCCTTGTTGATCTTGCACTAGTTATTTTCATTTCATTAGGTTCCCATTTCTGGCTTCTATTGTTGGTTGGCAGCATATCATGTTCATGTTTGTGCCAATGGTGCAACCTAATTTCTGTATTTTGATCATATGTTTTTGTCTTCAGGACCTCGCAGAATTTTGACGATAAAAATAGGAAGAATGGCTGCAGCTGCAACTCCTACTGCAGGTGTGGCAAGGGCCAGGACTTGCATCTCATCCCCCCATAAAATGTTGATGTCGAGGGCAGCAATTCTGAGTACAGCGTCCAAAGATGCATCTATGACTAAGTTTTCAAGCTCTTCTTGCATCTCATTGAGCCATTCCTTCTTACAGAAGCCTAATTCAGTGATTCTGAAATCTAAACGAGTTGTCACAACAAAAGCAGTCTCCTCGGCAAATGAAACCAGCCCCTTGCCAGGACTTCCTATCGATTTAAGAGGTCAATTTTTCTCTTCCACTTTTCGCCTTTGCTAGCCAGTCATAGTAAACTAGTAATTAGTTTGAACAATCATTTGTTTCAGAAAAGTGCGCTGCATTTGTCTATTTGGTTTAGCTTCTAAATGTATTGCAACTTTTCCGCTATATGATCTTTATGTATAAAACTTGAATAATGATGAGGGTTTTATATTCACAGGTAAGAGAGCTTTCATTGCTGGTATAGCTGATGACAATGGGTATGGTTGGGCTATTGCCAAATCACTTGCAGCAGCTGGTGCTGAAATTCTTGTCGGTACATGGGTGCCTGTGCGTAAACAAACTGATCCAATCCATCAATGAATAGTTCCTTTAAATATAAGATTAGTTGCAATTACTAAATCACGATTATTTTTCAACAGGCTTTGAATATATTTGAAAGCAGCCTACGACGAGGAAAGTTCGATGAATCTCGTGTGTAAGAATGTTGTCTGCTAACTCCTGATTTTTACTGAAAAGATCCTGTTTAAGGGATCTATATCCGAGCTTATGTACCGAGTCCATTGTTGGTTGTCTCAGATTACCGGACGGTTCTCTGATGGAAATTACCAAAGTGTATCCAATGGATGCGATTTTTGATGGCCCTGAGGATGTTCCTGAAGATGTAAGTGACGATAGCACCTTATTTCTTATGTGCTTATATAATATGGAGTAGAATAGATGATATGTGCAATTTGTGCAGATAAAAACAAACAAGCGCTATGCAGGATCCTCCAATTGGACTGTTAAGGTAATATTTTTTTTTCTTATAATGGCAACTGCATTTTACCTTCCCTCTCTTTTGTAAATGATGGGTGATGTGGTTGAGTGATATTTTGCAGGAGCTTGTTGAATCAGTGAAACAGGATTTTGGCTCTATCGACATCCTTGTCCACTCTCTTGCTAATGGTCCAGAGGTCTGTTATCCTTGAAGGACTTGTGCCTTTTTGTTGCCCCTTAGTAAGTAATTTCTATTTTCTGAAACTGATTTACTTTCTCAGGTCGCCAAGCCTCTTCTGGAGACTTCGAGGTTTGGATACCTTGCAGCCATCTCTGCATCAAGTTACTCCTTCATATCCCTCCTGCAGAACTTCGTTCCTATAATGAATCCAGGTGCTGTCTTCCACCACGAATATCCTTCAATGGGGGATTCCAGCCATCTGCTAATATGAACCTTTACTTGTTGAAACTTCAGGTGGTGCAACAATTTCCTTGACCTACATTGCTGCGGAAAGGACCATTCCTGGGTATCAATTAACACTTCTGGTTTAGTGTCAATCAGTTGATAAGTTTGATGTTGCATTTATAACTAAATATTCTTACATTCTACATTGCAGTTATGGTGGTGGAATGAGTTCAGCCAAGGCTGCACTGGAGAGTGACACACGTGTGAGTTAATATTAAGTCTCGGTTCCGTGTAGCCTTTTCATGCAACTGAATCTGTTAGGTTTAAACATAGTTGACATTTTTTGTATCCGTCTTCACAATTTTTCTGTTAGTTCAGGTGCTTGCCTTTGAAGCTGGAAGAAAGCACAATATCAGAGTCAACACAATATCTGCAGGTACCAACTAAGCCATGATGGGAAATTTGGTGCAGTAACTGCATTCCATCAAAACTATCTGGATATCAAGATCAACTGGAGGAAAAGCAATAGATAAATTTATGTAATGTTAGGGTCTGATAACTTCCATGCCTTGGCAGGTCCCTTGAGAAGTCGGGCTGCAAAAGCAATCGGTTTTATCGATATGATGATTGAGTACTCAGAAACCAATGCGCCCCTCCTGAAAGAACTATCTGCAGGTTAGCAAAATCTAATCCCTTTCCACTTCACTTTTACTGTCTGTAGATATATAAGTAATACCATCATAGCCCACTGATTTGAGCTCTCTGGTATGTTTCATTCTGCAGAGGAAGTAGGGAATGCTGCTGCTTTCCTGGCTTCGCCTTTGGCTTCAGCCATCACCGGAACTGTCTTGTATGTCGACAATGGTCTAAATGCCATGGCCGTTAGCACTGACAGCCCAATACTTGAAGAGCTCCACGTTCCAAAAGAGAAATAAACACACCTAAGCAGGAAATAGCCCAGAGCTTCTAAATTTTGTTATTTTGTTGTTAATTTCAGAGTAAACAATAAATGCTGCTCTTTCTATCTCGTTGGACTTGTGTAACATTTTTACATATGCAGAGAGCTGATTTCAGTTGAATCGAACACAGAGCGAACAAACAACTTTGTGTAACATCTTAAGCATGAAACTTTGTTTTGTAGTGAAGCTTTCTGCAGAGCCTGAACTTGGGAATAATCTACAATTATGCTCCTTGAGATTCTAGACAGCGGAGCTGGCTTCTTGAGTCCTATGTGGCATCAGCTCCTTACCATCCCCGACTGAAGAGCACATCAACTGCAACGCTTCAAACACAACTTAAAAATGAGAAATTCCAGAAAACAGATAATAAAGCCATGAACTTTATATCATGAACAAGGAACTGTTTGATTTCCCACCTGCCAATCACTGTAGTCGAATTTGAAGACAAAATGCCGGTAAGAAACGTCGCCGGAGGCAATCATAGTGGCTGATGGTGCATTCCTCGGAGCTGCAAGGTCATGAGAACATTAGTGAGAAGGGTAACAAAGCAGGCAGAGAGGAACTGGAGAAAAAAGGGGCAAGCAAACAGTTTTTCCATTAACAAAACTTACAGACTATATGGCGACCAGATTCATCATCAACTTGAATCTCGACCCTTCCGTCTTTTACAAGGAACGACAATGCAAACAAATTCTCCACCGTCTGCGAAAACGAGCTACTGTTCAGTATCAGGTGTTCAAGATCCACCTTCCTCTCCTTCCTCAAGATACTGAACATGGTCACCATAGTTCCATCCGTCGTGCCCGTCTTCTCCTGTTCCTCGACCTGAGGATCGACCTGCTCGAGAGGCCGAAATGGGTTTTAATCAAGACAGCTCACAAAGTTTCAACCCATTCTCATCGTTCATATTTTAATAAACTAACCAAACCTGTTTCGGCAAGGCAGATTTTTCGCTCGGTCGCCGCCGGCCTCTCCTAGCTGCAGGCTTCCTCTGCTTCACTGCACTGTTTGTGCCAACCCTGTCGATTGGACCAACATTTTACCATCAGCATAAGCAAAAAACATATCAGAGTTTCGAATATTTGGCTTTGTTCGAGATGTAAAAACAAGCTGATGATTACATTGTAGAGCATCCTCGAAAGGGCTGGAATATATGAGCCACTGAAACACCAATCTTCTGCCAGTTAACGGACGTCCTCTTTCGATCACTATGCCTGTAGTGTTGAACCCTGCCAAAGTCTCTGAGTACGAAATCGATGAACTTGGAAGGCGTAACGGCGTTGGAATTGATCTTGGCTCCTTTCACCAACGAGCTTGTGATCCCCAACAGAGCCTCTGCATCAGCCAATTGCTCCCTCGGTCTGGTCACTGTAAAAGCAACGGGAAAAAAAAACCCAGAAAACCTAAGATTGCTTGCGCGCCAAGTAATCGAAAAAAACCCTATCTCTGTACAAAAGTTTTTGATTGATTAATTCGATTACCTCGCTCGTGCAAGCTCTGGAGCTGGTTGAATATGGTGTTGAACTTGTTGGATTCCGCGCTTCCGATGTCGTCTGCTTCATCTGCGATCACAATGGCGGCGAAAGAGAAATAGGGGGAATTCAAATTGAAACCCTTGGATGCGTATTGATCAAGCAGGGAGAACTGAGAGAAGTAGTTGTTTTTACCTTGGATGAGATTCTGGACAGTATGGTACTGAGAACGGAGAACTCTGCAGTCACTCAAGTCGACGACGCCGGCGGCGGCGGCGGCCACATTGTCGGGTCCGGCGCCGGGCTCGCGTTTCACGGGTCCGGTGCCGGGCTCGCGTTTCACGGGTCGGGTCATCAGCTGCCGTTGTTTGCTTGTTAGATGGTGGAAGCAAAAGCTAAAGGCAATGGAGATTCAGAGAATCCCAAGAGTCCTTCCGGCGGTTTGAATTTTCTCAGTTTTCTCTCTTCTTTATCTGTGTCTCTCTTACAGGGGAAGCGAAAGATTGTCATTGTGCATTCGTTAGAAAAGAAAAAAGAAAAAAGATTTTGTCATCCGTGCAGCACTCGGAAATTAGTTGGGCTTTTCAGTTCTGGATCTGGGCTGAGCTTTTCTGTACAATGCCTCGTAGCCTTAATACAGAACCTTTTGGTCTATGTTTTGGTTGGTTTTGTATTTTTTTTTTTTTTACCAATAGATAGCTTTTATTACCAAAATCAAACCCAGAAAAACACTGTTTACATCACAAGAAATACCAACTATCAAAATCAAAACTCTCCACACTCGCAGGCAACAAAGAAAGGGTCTTCCTGGCCACCTCATGAGCCACCCGATTGTTACTCCTGCCGACAAACGCAATGTCAAACCTCGTAAACCACTGCCGAATCCCACCAATCTCCTCCAAAATCCTTCCTCCTCGCAAATCCCTAGCATCAGCCCTCCGAATCTTGTCAATGACAACCTTTGCATCTCCATAAAACTTCACTTCAGTAAGGCCCTTCAAAGAGCACCACTGAATCGCATCACGGAAGGCTATCAACTCGACTAAGAAGGGATCCACCAAACCTGCATAAGAGAACCCTTTCACAAAACACACATTACCCATCAAATCCCGAACCACCAAACCCCCGGCACCATGGGACCCCGGCGCTACCGCACCATCCACAAAACAGGAATACGCCACTCCATCCATCACCTGACTAGCTCGGCCCCCACCGATCCTCTCCCCACCCAAACGACTGGCCTCATGTCGTCCCTGCACTGGTTGCACAATCGCCAGCCATTCCTTAACCTGACTTTCATACTGCTGCATAAGCCGCGGAATAGCATACTGCACATGATCGAAAACAACCCAATTCCGACTCTTCCATATTCTCCATAGCAGCGCCACTAAACGGACTATCCTCTCTGTACTAGAATTTTGGTCAACAAATCGGCGAAAGAACAGCGCGAAGTTACCAGACTCAATAGAGCTGATATCTCCGCCAATGCCCGATCTATCCCAAAGCGCCCTAGCTACTGTGCACGATAAAAGCATATGCTCCAAGGTCTCAATCGGCGCCCAACACACTGGACACTGAGGCGAGGTCGCATTCTCATCCACCGTCTCCTCCACTACCACTGCCGGCACTCTCCCCTCTTTCTCCACGATCGCCTCCATGGTGGGCAGAATGCGTCTCAGCATTTGCCAGACAAAGAACTTTAATTTCGGAGGGATGGGAAAATCCCACACCTTCTTCCAAAAAGCACTATCAAAAAAAGAAACCTCATCCTTCCACCCTGGCATCTTTCGACTAAGAGAAATGGCCAGATGATATCCCGACCTGACACTATACACCCCATCATTCTCCCGTGACCACACCAGCTTATCCCTCACCGGCTGCACCGGCAAAGGAATGGACCAGATTCTACTAACCACCTCTGCCGGGAAACACTGCTGCAGGCACGCACCACACCATCGCCCCGTACCCGGGATCATCAAGGACTGCACTGTCGCACCCTCCAAGTTAGGACCCAATGATCTACTTGCAAGTTCCTCCGGCCTCCACCCCGGGACCCAATTATCCCCTAGCACCTGCACTATAGCCCCATCACCTACCTGCCACATCAGCCCTTCCTTCAACAAATCTCTCCCATGCAGAATGCTAGTCCACCCCCACGACGGCCTCGATCCTCGACGCGCTTGGAGAATCGCCGACTTGGCAAAGTATTTTCCCTTCATGACTCGAGCCAGGAGAGACCCCGGCTCTTGCCCAATTCGCCAAGCAACCTTCGCCAACAGAGCTTGATTAAAGCTTTCAAATCGCCTAAAACCAAGGCCACCATCAAACTTACTCCTACAAAGGTTCCTCCAAGACACCCAATGCGCCTTATCCCTGTCCGCCGAAAATCCCCACCAAAATCTAGCCATGTGCTTATCCAACCTGCGGCAAAGAGTCACCGGCAATAGGAAGCACGACATAACGTAGATAGGAAGGGCAGCTGCAACTGCTTTCAATAACACCTCCTTTGCTGCCCAGGATAATTGCTTCTGCTTCCAACCTTGGAGCTTTGCAAGCAAACGCTCCTCCAGATACCTAAAGGTCTCAACTTTAGACCGTTGAACCAAAGAAGGAAGTCCCAAATATTTATCCTGAACTCCTATGGCCCCAACACCAAGGATAGCCGCCATTACCTCCACGTCGCCGGGGTCGACATTCTGACTAAAACAAACAGCCGATTTACTCAAATTAACTTTCTGGCCACTCAACTCCTGATAATCTCCCAATAACTGAACCAAGGTCTCACATTCCTGTTTTGATGCCCTCAAAAACAGGTAGGAGTCATCAGCAAAAAATAAATGGGAGATGCTCGGACATCGCGGATTAACTTTAACCCCTGCTAATCTCTTCTCCTCCACAGCCTTTCTCAATAACGCTGCAAATCCTTCAGAACATATCGCAAATAGCAGAGGGGACAACGGATCCCCTTGCCGGAGCCCTCTCGTCGAGCTAAAATAGCCCATCGGAGTACCGTTCATCATTACTGAGAAGGTTGCAGTTGACACACACTCCCGAATCCAACCAATCCACTTTTGGTTGGTTTTGTATAAGTTAGTGATTTATTATTTATTGGGTAATTATTATAAAATTATTGATTAACCATTGATATAATCATTTATACGGTGTATGGCTCGCTCTAACTACAACTTCTCAATCGAAGGTCAAGTTTAACCAACGATTGGGTGTAGTATAGGGTAAGCAAGTAATAAAATTATCGAACCACAGGTCCCTAGATGTAGCTTAATTTGGCCTAAGTTTCGTTATCTACCCAACCTAGAATAGTGATTAAGCTAACTAACCTAACTACTCTACCCTAGTTAATTACAAGTTTGGAGCTCTCTTAGGTTGAATCGTCCTACTTCCATCATTTAGACCGATGTTGTGTACCATCATAGGTCGATTGACTCGTTATCCATACCGTTAGGTGATCAACTCTCTCAGGAATGTCCTGGAATGGCGAAGTGATGGATTGGTAGGGTGCTCTATTCAACCTAGGAAAACAGTATATCGTTAGGAAAACGATCGAATTGACTCCCTCGGAGGATTACTCGGACGACATAGATGAGGAGTGATCCTAATTTCCAGAATGGGCAAATAGGGGGGGATCTTCTCCCTCATAGATGAAAATCTTAATTGACATTAAATAGAAGGGTTAATACCTTAGTTTGGCCCGAACTATACACATACTTTCTACTTTGGCCCGAATTATTGAATATTGCTACTATGGCCTGAACTATGTAGCAAACTTTCTCATTTGGCCTCGAGGCGCGTTTGACCGTCAAAACAGACGGTCAACCAAGTTGACCGTTAGTCAATATACACATTAGCTGCCACGTATACATTAAAAATTATATTTTTTTTTTACAAAAAATAAAAAATAAATTAATAACTCTAAAAAAAGGAACGGAAAATAAAAGAAAAAAAAAAATAAAAAAAAACCCACAGCCACCATTTATACCCTCCTCTCTCTCTCCCCCTCTCACCCAAAATCGGGAAACCCTATCCCTTCTCCGAAGACGTACCCTCCCCCTCCTCCTCCTCATCCCCCGCCGCCGCCGGCTCCCCTGTTGTCCTCGGCGGCGTCGCCGAAGAGCTTCTTCTTGGCGTCGGGCCGCCGGAGGTTCTTAATGGAGTTGAGGAAGTGAGCTCGGGAGATGGTGTGGATGGCGTCGCTGAGCTTGTCGTGGAGATCCCAAATCTTCTCGAGGACGACTTCAATTTCTTCGACCTCCATATCCCACCTCATGGCGGATGGCTAGAGTTGCAGAGAGAGAAAAGGCTGGAAGCAGGTGGAATAAGGGAAGTTGGGGGAAATGGTTGGTTCGAGAATTTTTTGCCGGGTTTTCGAAATTCTCTCGGTTACAGTCAAGAGATCGGCGGCTGGGGCTCGTCGGAGAAGGGATAGGGTTTCGGAGGAAGAAACTGGTTCGGAGAAGGGATAGGGTTTCCCGAATTTGGGTGAGAGGGGGAGAGAGAGGAGGGTATAATTGGTGGCTGTGGGTTTTTTTTTATTTTATTTTTTTTTCTTTTATTTTCCGTTCCTTTTTTTTAGAGTTATTAATTTATTTTTTATTTTTTGTAAAAAAAAAATATAATTTTTAATGTATACGTGGCAGCTGATGTGTATATTGACTAACGGTCAACTTGGTTGACCGTCTGTTTTGACGGTCAAACGCGCCTCCAGGCCAAATGAGGAAGTTTGTTACATAGTTCAGGCCATAGTAGCAATATTCAATAATTCGGGCCAAAGTAGAAAGTATGTGTATAGTTCGGGCCAAACTAAGGTATTAACCCTAAATAGAATAAAAACTCATGCAATCCATGATAAACATCCATCAAATAGATAATATGAACAATCAAACATAGGATTTGTCACATACATCAACATCTAACCAAAATCTAGACCTAGGATTCTTCAAAATAGCTCAAGATCTTCATCTTCTAGGATTGAATCCTTGACTCCAAGATCAACTCAAGCCTCCAATTAAGCTCCAAGATCTCTCTCTCTCTCTCTCTCTCTAGAAATGCCACTTTGGTGTTTTGGATCAAAACCCTAAAAGAAAAATCAAGCTCTCCTTATCTCAACAGCTAGGTCGTGATTAGGGATGTCAATCCAACTCGTAACCATGGGTACCCTACCCGACCGTAACCGGTCAACGAGGGTAATTACCCGCTTTGACGAGTTAAGGGGCGGGTACGGGTAATACCTGGTTTCAAAATAAAGGGTAGGGTACGGGTATGGTAATCGATAATACCCGCCTCGTTATACCCGCCCCGCTAACCAAATGGTCAATTTCCCTTGAGAAATTAATATTA